TTTCGTTCATTTTCTTTGCAGAGGTTGCACATACTGAAATGAAATTAAGTATGCAGATATATCAGATGAATGTATGGATCAAGTTCTGTTTTGGGTACGATGACACCATTTTTGACAGAGTTATGGCCTTAGAAAAATTCCAGTGTGGGGGGTGGGCCGGGCATAAGTGTTTTACAAACATCTCTTGTTTTTTCTTCAGAAGAGATCACAGTGAGTTGAGATAAGATACGACAACATACTATTCCTGTATAGTTGACATTTCTATCTTGTTTATTTGAAATATAGTGAAAAATAATGAATCATAATTGATGTTATGTAATCACAAGAGCTTGGTAATTGATGCATAGGTCTGATCTTGCCAGGGGTTTCTTTGATCGATTCAGGCTTGATTAGCACATAACAGGTAAATTTATCAGGGAAAAAACTACAATTTGATGAGCCCAATTTTTTATATTGGCAGGTCAGTTAAGTTGTTTACCAGGAAACGTTAATGAACACACTTAAAATATCAGTTTTACAAACCCCTCCTATAGTGTAAGGGGGAATTTTTTCCTCGTAAGGGAGAAACATTTTGATGACTGATACTGTTTATAAGGACTTCCTGATCTGTGACTGATTTAGTAAGCGGGGCTCTCTCTGTGTCCACACTAAGGCTGACAAAACGGGGAGTTTATCTCATGGATAACATAGGGGATTCAGAGTAAGTCAGTATAGAATTCTACTATTTATTTCACAATGCTGGGAATTTTTATTATTTGGATATATGGCAGGTGTGTTAGTGGGAGGGGCTAATCTTATGTTCATTACAGTGTCACCAGGTAATAGTTTCTTGCTGCTCTGGAGTTTTACGTATAAAAAATAAACAATGGACTTATCAGGATTTAAGTTGTAGATATACATAGCAAAGGCAGGAACTAGGAAATAGGGAAGTTTCATTGAAAGTGACCAGCAGTAAATATTTGTATTAATGTGATAGATAAAAAATGTTTTAATACACTTAAATTCATAAAAAGTTTATCAGAATGTATGCCATTGTGAACTGCATTAGACAATGTAAAAACCTAACGTGTATATTATATATGAATTCAGTCCATATATAATATATTTCATGTTATGAGCTTTGTCATACTAATACAATTGTTATGCCCTATTGTGTATTTCCTGTACTCTTATGTGAACTTTCATTTACATGTCTGTATTAGTGGCATGCGATAATATTCCCATCATCTGTCAACTCATTTCAGCCTGTGTTTATATATAGAAGATTAGAAAAGAAACAATATTGACTGACATCTATTTTTTCCATCCTGTCCTCTGTATAACTTTATAACACTTTGTATAAATTAACACATTTTCAAAGAAAGTTTAAAAAAATAAGATATGCTTTGCCACTGATACATTTTTGTGAGAGCTAGTGAATATCACATAATTTTCTGACTTTGACCCTCCCTATGACCTTGACCTTACTGTATTTTGTGTTTAATTGTGCAGTTGCATTTTCAAAGTAATTATTCAAGATATTTTATAAAAAAAATTACATCAATAAAACATTGGTGAGAACTCTGTATTGCCTTGACCTTACTGTTATCTATGATGTGTTTAATCTAGTTGAAAAGCAATTCTATCAGAACTATCATAAAAAGCTATTATTGAAACTCTTATACTGTTACATATATTAGCATAATTTTTCTGTCCTTGACATTGCTTTTGACCTTGACCCAGTTTCATAGGAATGGGTTTTGATATTTTAATCTAACTTAATACCTGTTCTTCCCTGTGACTGTTAGCATGACCATATAAAGCTTTGTTTAGCTCAGTATCAAAGCAGTTATGATAATTTTCTTAAAAACTCTTGTGCTTGTATGTATTGGAACCATTCAATTATGCTGACATTTTCTGACCTTCAACATTCTCCATGACCTTGACCCCTTTTTTCCTTTAGCATTTGTTTCAAAGATTTCAGCAGACTTCATTTCCTTAAAATTTTGTATGATTAGTAATACACTGACTATGTATTCATGCAGTTCTTTATCTTAATCCTATTATGACTTCAAGCTTCTGGGAAGAAGAAGGTTCTAAACCTCTTAACAGCCAATCCCCTGGGGATGGATTGGTACAGAGATGTTATATATTGTAAAACTGTGCCGCTTTCAACATCCTTCTCTGATAGAAATCTTTTTAGTAACCAAGATACATTTCTTAACACAAAAATTATCTAGTCTTAAATTCTGTAACTTTAATTTCTGGCCACAATCATGGATATTTACAAGTTATTGGAAACAAGTTATTGTCATGTAGATTTTGTCAGCTGATTCCTCAGATATGGAGGTTTCTGCTTCACCAATTACACACTGTTCCATTTAGTGAGATATAGTGGACCAAATTGATATTGCAATACTGTTTTACGAGGAAGCATGTCTGTCCCCTTAAAATTTTGATTACCAGGTACTGATAATAGAAATTTCTGATCTTGGATACATACTTAGATGAATTAGTTCATCAAAGGCCAAGTCATGTCTCTTTATTGGCTTGTACTATAGTAAAGTACTAATGATTCAACTGAACTATAGAAAAAAAGGGTTTCATGCAGAATTTATCTTCAGAGATTTCAGTATCATGGTTAACCCAAATAAAATTCAATACTGTTATATCTTATGGAATAACCTATTTTTCATGCGTGTTAAATGCCAATGTAGTATTTTTATGCCCCCCTTCGAAGAAGGGAGGGCATATTGCTTTGCTGCTCACAGTCTGTCAGTCCGTCGGTCTGTCGGTCCATTTAGTTTCTGTTCATTTTCACAACCATTGCACATACTGAAATGAAATTGGTATACAGGTTTATCAAGTAAATATCTAGGTCAAGTTCTGTTTTGGGTATGATCGCACCATTTTAGACAGAGTTATGCCCCTTGGACTTAGAAAAATTCCACTTATTTGCAGTTTCCGTTCATTTTCTTTTGTAGAGGTTGCACATATTGAAATGAAATTTAGTATACAGATTTTTCAGCTAAATATCTAGGTCAAATTCTGTTTTGGGTACGATAGCACCGTTTTTGTTAGAGTTATGCCCCTTGGACTTGGAAAAATTCCACTTATTTGCAGTTTCCGTTCATTTTCTTTGTAGAGGTTGCACAAATTGAAATGAAATTTAGTATACAGATTTTTCAGCTGAATATCTAGGTCATGTTCTGTTTTGGGTAGAATTGCACCATTTTAGACAGAGTTATGCCCTTTTGGACTTAGAAAAAATCCAGTTTGGGGGGAGGGGGGCATAAGTGTTTTACAAACATCTCTTGTTTGAAAAATAAATGCCTTTAGCATCCTGCAGTGCATTAAGACTAAGGCGCTGATCTGTATTATGACTTCATATTTCTAGTATAAAGAGTAAAGGACCTGTTGGTTGATAATGTATGTACAATGACTGATTAGCATGTGATACACGAAGCAGGTGCTTCTGGTGATATGTAATGTTAATCACAATTGTCTGTCATAGACAAAGCCTATTTTCTGTATAAAAGCTTTCTGGTTCAATAATATGGAATCTTTTTTGCCTTCGTGGTTGGTGAAAAAATAGAGCATCTTTCTCCTCAATATTGATCAGCATTATCAGCTGATTATGATTACGCTTTCATTTATATACATCAAATTTTTCCTCAGGGGGCCCGAAGAATGGGTCACCATGGGCGGTCTTTCATTCACTGGTATGGATGTCCGATATTAATTCTATGGCCTTTTAAAAACCTATGAAGTAAAGATAAACCAAAGAAGACAAGGTTCATGACATATGAAACCTATTCCATAATGTTCAAAAGAAAATACATGAATTTTTAATTATTGAAGAAGGAGGATCATTTTCTTCAATTTTTCTTTATGCAGAGTAGAAGAATCAAATATCATAATGCATTATTATAAAATTCTAAAATGATGATTGTTTTTATGGCATCTTTTAGAGCTCTTTACTGATCCAGCTAAAAGTATAGAATTTATAAAGGGCCTTTGCAATCAAATTGTCAACTGCCATAATTCCTTTTTTCAGAAAATGCATTGAATGCTTTGAAAACTCGCAAATTTCTATTTATGGTAAAATAGATAAATGCTCACTCATGATTATAATTTTGATAAAAGGATATGCATGTATCTTTGGTCTGGAAAAAGTGGACAGCTAGCAGCATTAGGCAGGTGGTTACTGATGAGTTTGATTATAGAGTAAAAATCATAGGCAGGATTTGAAGTGGTCTTTTCATATGTCTCTTGAATTGTGTTAACGTAGCTGCTACTGCAGTTTTGATTTTGCCACGACAAAGATGGTAAAAAATGAAAAATGGAAACTTAACAACACTGTTATGGTCAAAATATTGGTGTTCTTAATTGCATACATAACCAGTAGATCATCAGAAGTCTTCTTAATCGGTTCTGTTTTGTCAATTTGTTGAAATTCACTATTAAGAGAGTCATCTCTGCTAGGTAACGGTTTTGGTCCTTTAAGTGGAATGGACCAAAATTCCTTGGCTAGCAAAGATGCAAGAGAGTGCAAAGTTTGATAAATGTAATGCTTTATTATAATAACAAACAAGAGAGAGGAATTATATTATGGTAGACCATTATGTAATTGAAAGATTCTTTTTTGTTTGAATAAAAGTCTATGGTAGCTAGTTTAATTTTGTTATCTAGTGGTTCTTATAATGTTCTGACTTCACTGTCATCTATGATTTTGTTTGATAGACAAGAGACTTGAATCTTCGTTATTCAGTTGCTAAGCCACTATATGTGTTATTCAGTTGCTAAGCCACTAAATGTAATTAAAATCATATATCATAAATTACAAAGAAAAGCAGTGAAAAGCTGATAGTGTTAATTGTAGATTAAAATAATAACAGTATTATTTTTATATTATCATGATTATGATGCAAGCAAAATTAATTTTATATATGGGAAGAAGTCTTTTTCCTTGTGAACCATCAATACTGGCTCATTAAAATGAATTTCTCTCTTCTTGTCAGGAAGCACAGCAGTGGTGACTTACACAGTCGACTGAAGACCCGGAAACTCCTGGGGGTGGGGGAAACAGACGATGGTGATGTCCACAGGTCAAAGGTAAACGCTGCTCAAACTTCATGTGGTACAGTGTAAAAGCTTGTAAAATACTTAATAGAGCTGTACATTGGAATTGAGGGAATTAGTCTGTGACCATCATTTTTAAAGAGGTATGTCTAGCTTAAAAAAAAAAAATTGAAATGTGCAAGATTCAAATGTACATCACTTCAAATTTAAATGAGAATAGGAAGAAAAAATGAAAATATATTTTCTCACAGTCAATTTCTAAAGTTTACATGTTTATAAGCATGTATAATATTTAAAAGATCCAATATCAGCTAGTGCAATTGTCATTATTGGTTGCTTGTAATACAGCGTTTTTGCAAATTCAATATACAGCTTTATGTACAAAGGCCATAATATCTTTTCCTTAACATGATTTGTCTAAAGATAATATTCAGTGGTAGTATCAAGAGATTTTTTTTATGCTCCCCTTCGAAGAATAGAGGGCATATTGCTTTGCTGCTGTCTGTCTGTCGTACCATTTAGTTTCCGTTCATTTTCTTCACAACCGTTGCACATACTGAAATGAAATTTGGTATACAGGTATATCAGATAAATATCTAGGTCAATGTCTGTTTTGGGTACAATCGCACCATAAATGACAGTTATGCCCCTTGGACTTATAAAAATTCCAACTATTTGCAGTTTCCATTCATTTTCTTTGGAGAGATTGCACACATTGAAATGGAATTTAGTATAAAAATTAGTCAGATCAATATCTAGGTCAAGTTCTGTTTTGGGTACGATCGCATCATAATTGACAGAGTTATGCCCCTTGGACTTAGAAAAATTCCAATTATTTGCAGTTTCCGTTCATTTTCTTTGGAGAGGTTGCACATATTGAAATGAAATTTAGTATAAAAATTAGTCAGATGAATATCTAGGTCAAATTATGTTTTGGGTACGATCGCATCATAAATGACAGAGTTATGCCCCTTGGATTTGAAAAATTCCAATTATATGCAGTTTCCGTTCATCTTCTTTGGAGAGGTTGCACATATTCAAATGGAATTTAATATACAGATTAGTCAGATGAATATCTAGGTCAGATTCTGTTTTGGGTATGATCGCACCATAATTGACAGAGTTATACCCCTTGGACTTAAAAAAATTCCAATTATTTGTAGTTTCCGTTCATTTTCTTTGGAGAGGTTGCACACATTGAGATGGAATTTAGTATACAGATTAGTCAGTGAATATCTAGGTCAAGTGTTTTGGGCACCATTTTTGACAGAGTTATGTCCTTTTGGACTTAGAAAAATTCCAATTTTGGGGGAGGGGGGCATAAGTGTTTTACAAACATCTCTTGTATTAAGGTTCAGATTGGAAGATGCACACTTTTAGTATGGGATTGCCTCCAATAATTTGTGAAATATGAAATATTTATTGACAGTCTTGTTTATATAATGTGATGTAGGAGTTTGCTAACATCCATAGATCTCCATTTAGACAGACAGCATTTAGTTGTGTAGGGTAATGTAGCATTAAAGTGATGGCTTACAATACTTGAACTGTGCTTTAATGTAGTTTCTGTCACAACACTTGTGTCAGGTTTTAGCTTAAGAGCTCTAAAACATTTCATCTTAAATACAAAACTAAGTTCTGTTGTAAAAAGTAAAGCAATATTTTATATCTCACGAGAAAAAATGCTCTCTTATGCATACCAGAATCTCTTCCTCTCTGTTTTCAAAGAGGGCCTTCATGTATAAAAAATGTCCATATGTTAATATTTGATTTAGTGTTTACAGCATGATAAACTGTTTGTATTTCAAAGAATGTCATGCTGAATAGATAGCAGTCTTTAAGATTTATAAATTATGTAATATCTTTCGGAATCTGATTTTAATCTCATTCCTAGTGGGCAAGCTGCATTTTATTTACATCTAGTTAACTGTGTACTTTTAAAAGTATAATAGAGAGCCTCTAATAAATCAGCAAGTAGAAGATTTGACATTAATCCAATCGCAGCCTCATCCGCTTACTTTATGAATATTGGAATACAAGAATTAATACGATTAATACACAGATACTTGATTTAAAATCCCAGCTTAAAAACAAAGAAAACACTAACGAAATGGAACATATAAACGATCTAATAACCGCAATCCCAAACTTTATGAAGAAGAAGGAAGCCGATAAGGAATCAACAAAAGCATTCAAGGACAATAAAAAATCCCAGTAATTGTTAACTACACCCCCCTCTTGATGTAATGGACGAATTGGAGCAAGGATCTACGTACCTTCACATTTCGTCTGAACGAATTTTGTCATAAAACTACAATGAACTCTTGAACATTTTAAAGAAATTAGCGTTGTTGATATTAATACATGTTAATTATTTTAATGTATTTTTACGAACAATTATTATCCTCCATAAAATAGAACTATTCAGAAGTAGCAATTTATGAAACCAAATTACATTTTATGTTATCCCAACATTTATAGGAAATGTAATCTAATGTCCATTTGTATAATTTTACGCACTCTATATATACATGTACAAACCATCCGTATTTTTTTCCATTGTGACGTCACAGTCTACCGAAACAGCTTGATGATGCAACAGAAGAATAATAATCCACACAATTTATGGACGTTTTTATCAATCACAAAACAATAATATTAGCTACTGACTAAATCTTAAGTTAGAAAAAAACTTTAGAGGAAACGTAAATTGAGTATATTTTGTATAAAGTACCATTCTTAAGCAAGTCCGCATATGTGCAAAACACTCCGCATTTTATTTTGTATTTAGCAACGCCATCCGCAATTTTTGTGTATATAGCAACGTCATCCGCATTTTTTACTTCAGTAGATAAATTTACATGCTTGATTGTTCTGATGACGACCGTCACAGGTCGAAACCGGTCAACAAAATAAATTTACTGCTGCATTCTCACGAAGTGTTGGTGGTCTGTTTTATACTTTTAAGTTTATAACTTTAGTTACAGACCCTATTGAATACCTTTCGGTATCCACACGTGAGAATCTTCCGCAATTTTAACCTCAAGGTGTTGGTCTCCAGCTTTTCTTTGTTTTGTATTCTACATTGTTACTGGGACCCCTGCATACCATAAGGTATACACCATTCCGAACTGCGCTATACATTATGGCCACCAACTCAATTCCAAAGTTAAAAGAATCAATTAACCAGAAAGTGAGTGAATCCCTCAAGGTAGACATCAGCAACCCCAAAAAAAGATTCCGCAATTCTTCACAATCTGATACGGATATAGAATATTCAGAAACAACTAACAAATCTCAACAAGAAATAGCAGGGAAAGAAACCGCTATTGCAACATCCGATCCAGTGGAATCTTCCGAGAAACCGAAAATATCAGAAGAAAATGTTGCCATTTTTAGGACACTCCGAAAACTTCATATTAAACTCCAAAGAACTAAAAGCCATGCCGCATACCTGCATAAATGCCAACAACAGGACCTCATACCAAAAACACTAAGAGCCAAAATCATTCCACAAATTCCAGACAGTAATGCTTTATTTCTCCTAAAGTGGGAGGAAGCACACCTTAATTTTAGCCGCAGCCTCATCCGCTTACTTTATGAATATTGGAATACAAGAATTAATACGATTAATACACAGATACTTGATTTAAAATCCCAGCTTAAAAACAAAGAAAACACTAACGAAATGGAACATATAAACGATCTAATAACCGCAATCCCAAACTTTATGAAGAAGAAGGAAGCCGATAAGGAATCAACAAAAGCATTCAAGGACAATAAAAAATCCCAGTAATTGTTAACTACACCCCCCTATTGATGTAATGGACGAATTGGAGCAAGGATCTACGTACCTTCACATTTCGTCTGAACGAATTTTGTCATAAAACTACAATGAACTCTTGAACATTTTAAAGAAATTAGCGTTGTTGATATTAATACATGTTAATTATTTTAATGTATTTTTACGAACAATTATTATCCTCCATAAAATAGAACTATTCAGAAGTAGCAATTTATGAAACCAAATTACATTTTATGTTATCCCAACATTTATAGGAAATGTAATCTAATGTCCATTTGTATAATTTTACGCACTCTATATATACATGTACAAACCATCCGTATTTTTTTCCATTGTGACGTCACAGTCTACCGAAACAGCTTGATGATGCAACAGAAGAATAATAATCCACACAATTTATGGACGTTTTTATCAATCACAAAACAATAATATTAGCTACTGACTAAATCTTAAGTTAGAAAAAAACTTTAGAGGAAATGTAAATTGAGTATATTTTGTATAAAGTACCATTCTTAAGCAAGTCCGCATATGTGCAAAACACTCCGCATTTTATTTTGTATTTAGCAACGCCATCCGCAATTTTTGTGTATATAGCAACGTCATCCGCATTTTTTACTTCAGTAGATAAATTTACATGCTTGATTGTTCTGATGACGACCGTCACAGGTCGAAACCGGTCAACAAAATAAATTTACTGCTGCATTCTCACGAAGTGTTGGTGATCTGGTTTATACTTTTAAGATTAATCCAAAGAGTATATGGACATGCTTGTAAAATATACTGGCTATATGGTCAATCATCATGTTGTTCAATATACTGAACATGTACATAGATAAGCGTATTCAAAATTTAGCGCAATCGCTGGGTATTTAGATGTTGGCATATTCATGAATTAGCGCTACACATTGCTGTGTAGTATATTGTATTTATATATATGATTTTTTAGCAGTATTCACGAATTAGTGTAACGTCTACACCAAATCCGCTAAAATATGAAGCCCACTATTTTTTAAAGTACACATCAGTATTACAAAGAGTATATGGACATAGTTTGCCAAATACGCTGGCTATGGTCAATCAACCGATGCAGTTCAATATAGTATTGAAAGCAATACAGTGTATTTATATACATTTTAGGATGGTAATATGACATCTAATTTCAGTTCAGCTCTTCATTGCAATTGGCTATATAGCACATTATCATACAAAAATATATTAGTGGTTAATTAATTGAAGCAGAAGATTGATGCATATAATATATCTATAGAGTTATTTCAATGATTTCTGGATTTTGTAGTTGAGTCAGATTTTGGGACACAGTGACCAGCTTTATATACGACTTCCTCCGGGTCTACGAATATGGCAGATTGCCATGGCAATCATTATGACAGTGATGGCATCATGGGTAAATTATTAAAAGCTCATCCATTATTAGACAAAATGTTTTTAAAAAAGTCTCTTCAATTGAACTTAAAATATTGCATCAATATAGATTAATATGAGTATATTTTTCTATATATGAGTAATAAAACTTCCTAAAAATTTATGATCAGCATGAATTGACAGATCTAAAAATAACACAAACAATTTATACAAAAGTCAATTTATTGCAAGTTTATAGTTCTTGTTACTTAATATGTATGTCCCAAAATAATATTTAATTGTATTGTAAAAAAAAAAAAAAATACATTGCAAAAGGTTTCTCTCATATCATTATATTTTTAGGCATTTATTTTTCCGAGGCACCTGTTCACCACAATGTATGATGGAGAGTATGAGAACACTTTACCAATCCGCCTGTATGGAGTGGCACTTCTCTGTAAGTATAGGAGGAAATCTACAGGTGGTGAGGTGTACTCATAAACATCAGTGTGGCAGTTTTTGTTTGTTATTTGTTTATGGAAACACCACCACTTGCTGACGGAGAGCTGCAAATTTTGTCATACTCAGCACCCAGTGCTATTGAGCAGTCTCCACGTCCCACAGTGGAATTTGAACCCCCTGATGCAAGGATCAACAGCTTACTCTGCGACTAGAGAGGACGCTCTTACCACTGCACCACGTGGGTGACGGCAGTTTTTGTAATGACAAGCCTGTTGCATTCGGGTGCATTAACCAGTGCTTTTACGTTCATGTATTTGGTCTTTTAAGTGAATCTACTGAATGAGTTCCATCCATTTTCTTGACATTACATTAAAAAATCTGGATGTCCTACCTCTTCATATAAACAGAAAATTGTAGTAATTTCTATTGAATTTTGATTAATTATGCTGAATTTTATATCAAATAATGGTATCCCTGTCTGACATCATTCAATGGCTTTATTTTGTAATATGTGGTAAATTATTTACCATTATCAGGAACCTGCTCTACAGATGTCCTGTAGTGACCAATTAATCTAATTGATACCCCTGCCCATCTGTCTGTCTGTTCATTTCTTGTCACAAGCACATCTCTCCCCTTGGTCAAATCTGGCTCAAACTTTACTACTTGCATGCCCTTGTGTAGAGGATGTGCATAGATCTAGAAACATTTCTTAAAAGGTCAAGTTTAAAACAAACATCCCTGTGTAAACTCATTTCTCGAATATATATTCCTCCCCCTTGCTAAATCTGGCTTGTACTTCAACAACAGATTTCCCCTGGGTAAAAATGTGTAATAATTTTGAACTCATTTATTAAATCAAAGGTCAAGGTCAGAAGAACCCACTGTATAAAATCCTTGCCATTAGATTTCATCATAGTGTTTGATAGTCAACACATTGGTTAAATTTTCTCTAGGTTTATCATTATGTTACCACTGTTTATAACTCTCCTGTAATTTTTCTCTAGGTTTATCCTTACTGTACTGGTACACAGTGAACACGGTGGATAAAGACATGATCCGACTCCTACTGCTGTGTAGCATTCTCTTCTTCTCACTTCATACCATCGGTAAGTGTCTCAGGAAGCAGTGTGTAGGTTAGCCTGTCAGGCCCCAGGCAGTAGTTCCCAATCATATAAAGGCACATCTCACCATATAGCATGTAGAATATAGGCCTTATAGGCATACACATTACCATATGGTATTTAGAATGTGTCTTAGGCTCTAGGCATATTCATAATGTAGTATCCTCCTAGTTTTTGCTTTGCATTAAATCTCTTATTCATTATATTAAGAACATTTTTTGTTTCATTTGTTCTTTTAAAAATGTACTGTTGCTCATTTTAAGCTTGCATGATTTGTAAATATTTATAAGACGTAACATGAAATGCAGACTGTGTTTTTTTAGCAAAGTTTTAGGACTCTTTAATAATTATTCCTTTGATTATCAGTATGTATAAAATGCAGACATTAGAAAATTCATTCTTGCATGGGGATGCAAAAAACACTCACCCATTTATTAACAGCTCTATTAACTTCTAGTATATCATAACATAGATTTGCTCATTTTGTCATGGACTGGTGTAACATACTCCTTGACCAACAGGAATATGGCAAACAATTGTCTTGATCTCCTAAATGTTTGCCTTTCATGTTTACTTCATATTGACATAACAAAAGCAACGATGCATCAACTGCTTATCTTTGCCTTGGAAAATTGCTAATCAATGATTGAATACTAGGGGCTCATTTATGTTGGAAGAGAATTATGCAATATGGAAAAAAATGTGCATTCTCAATTAATTCCCTATCTTATTTTCCTTAATTGTATGGAAAAGGAATTTGAATTGAACATTAAATTGTTGTATTGTTTGACAGGGAAAAACAAACATTATACAACTTAATGTGAAAAAAACAAGTAATCATGTATGCATAAGTCAATTTATTTTCACTATCTAACCTGAAAATTGTCCAAAAAAATTGCTGAAGCACATGTCTAAAATTCAAAAAAACAGGACTCTTTGATTGAGTGGATGAGAATATACATGTATATCTATTGCTTTTCTGTTGCTCATTACAAGTTCATAGTCTGTGTTAATTGTAAGAAGATGAATTAGATATTTTTTTTATATGTTGGCCTTTCCAATTTTTTCAATGTTTAAAAAAAAACTTTCAAGTCTGTAACAAAAACAGATTTGTGTACTCTACTGGTAATTTCTGATGCCATAAAATGAGACAATCTCTAATCATTGTTTGACTCTTTTTAACTCGAAAAGATTCAATCCCTTACATTGGATTTTAATACGATGTTCATATGACTGCATGTAGCCAAATAACCAGTAGAAGTGATAGAATGTTTTAGTATTAAAAATCTCTGCAGAATACATCATCATTAGACATTAGAGGCCGGATCTTTGATTTTCACTCGTTTTCCTACAAATTAGACCTCATTGTGAAGGAATCCACAAGTTGACAATGGACAAAACATGTTAAGATGAAGAAATCAATTTTTAAGAAATATTGATTCATCTTGATATAACATGACTCCTTCAAAGGTATCTTTCCCCTTAAGTCTGGCGTGGAGGGTTTGATGAGGTATGCTAATTAAGTGATAAGATAAGAGCTAGGAAATAAGAAGTTTATAAGCGGTAGAAATTTCCTTGTTAAGCTCCCGTCTGACGTGTCAAAGAGGAATTATGGTACCGTTATATTGTATATAAGGCAATTTTAAAGGAAGTAAAAATTTCTAGTGATTATTAATGCCCTGAAGCTATATAGCTTAAATTTACTTTTCCCTATCCAGTGCTATTCATTTTGAGCAGTAATAGTGACACCCTACAAAAATGTGTAGGATTATTCAATGCTTCATATTTGAACTTTCATATTTTACTAATTTACATTACCTGTGAAAACACCTTTCATAAAGATGTATAATTTTTTTACTTCCTTGTCCTGACCCATTTGTCAAAAATTTTAGTTTTTTTTTTTAGCTCACCTCAACGAAGTTGGGAGGAGCTTATGTGATACACTTGGCGTCGGCGTCCCAGGTTAAGGTTAAGTTTTTTGGAGCAGTTTTCTTTTTAAGTACTTCTATGTCCTATATTGATTAGACATGCATGGGAGATGCTTCTAGTGTTTTTCATTGTACCAGTCCAAGATTCAGATGCTGCAGTTTAAACAAAGAAATGACCAGATTAATGTTTTTTGGAGCAGGTTAACATTTTTGGTGCAGTTTTTGGTGTAGGTTTCATTTCCAAGTATCTATAAGTCCTATGTTGACCAAACTTGCATGGATGATACATCTAAGGAGGGATTCTACCAGGCTTGCTTCGGATGCTGAATCTGACCTACATTTTCCGGTTGAGTGAACAGGTTAAAGTTTTTGGTGCAGGTTTCATTTCCAAGTAAGGCCAAAATAAAATTATAGTTTGTTTGGAATTGCCTCCCGCCTCATTGAAATACCCCCCTCCTGAAAAAATTTTATTGACCAAAAGTAGGAAGATTTTTTTTTATTTAATCAATTTTTTTGCCTATTACATGTATCACATACAAAACACTGAAATACAGTGTCAGATCTATGTAAAATTAGGTTTTCAATTAAAAAAAAAATAATTTCCCTCCCTCCCTCCTGTGTCTGAAACCCTTCAGGCGGCAATTCCAAACAAACAATTTTTTAAGGATGGCCTAACTATAAGTCCTATGTTGACCAAACTTGCATGGATGATACATCTTAGGATGCATACTACCAGGCTTGCTTCGGATGCTGAATATGACCTACATTTTCTGGTTGAGTGAACAGGTTAAAGTTTTTGGTGCAGGTTTTATTTCCAAGTACCGGTAACTATAAGCCCTATGTTGACCAAACTTGCATGGATGATACATCTAAGGATGCATACTACCGGGCTTGCTTCGGATGCTGAATCTGACCTACATTTTCCGGTTGAGTGAACAGGTTAAATTTTTTTGTGCAGGTTTCATTTGCAAGTAACTTTAAGCCCTATGTTGACCAAACTTGCATGGATGATACATCTAAGGATGCACACTACCGGGCTTGCTTCGGATGCTGAATCTGACCTACATTTTCTGGTTGAGTGAACAGGTTAAAGTTTTTGGTGCAGGTTTCATTTTCAAGTAACTATGAGTTCTTTAATGACCAATCTTGCATGGAAGATACATCTAAGGATGCATACTACCAGGCTTGCTTCGGATGCTGAATCTGACCTCCTTTTTTTGGATGAGTGAAAATGTTAGTTTTTGATGCATGTTTCATTTCCAATTAAGTATGAGCCCTATAATGAGCAAACTTGCATGGACGATACATCTTAGGATGCACACTAATGGACTTGCTTCGGATGCTGAATTCGACATACATTTTTCAGATAATAGACCAGGTAAAAGTTATGGTTGCAGGTCTATTTCCACAAAACTATAAGGCTTATATAACATTGTATAAACCAAACTTGCACAAATGTTGCATCAAGAGATGGAAACTCTCAAATTTGCTTCAGATGCTGGATTTTGATTACATTTTCATGAAGAAGAACTAATTTAAATTTTTTATGTAGGTCTGTTTCAAAGTATCAGATCAAAATTGCTTAAATATTTTCATTTTTGGAATGTACACTTTTTGTTGGTTAATTGTCTGACTTTGCCTTATAAAGACAACATTCGTTGAGGTGAGCTCTGTAATCTCTGATTACCTATGTTTTTTGTTTTTTTTTTTGGGGGGGGGGGGAACTATAATTCGTGAACACAGTAAATGGCCCACTGATGCAAGTTTTTACACAAGAAAGTACCCCGGGTACATATTGCTGAAATTCCCAAATTTTGTGGCATCATGCAATCTCCTTTTTATAATAATATAGCTAATAGTGACTATCTCACCACAATTCTGTACAGCACCATTGAGCAGCTATCATTTGCTAGATGAACTTACTTCATATTTATTCACTGGGTCACATATAGTAGATCATAGTTTGTTTGCATGACTAAAGAATGCTAAAAATCTAAATTGTGTTAAAAAGAGATGTATCGGTACTTTCTGATGTGCATTGATTTCAATGATAAGAAAGAATAGTGTAATATATGCATAATTTGAAATCCTTAACAATTTTATTACAACTTGTTTGTCCATGCATGTTATGAGCTATTATATACATGTATATATGCTGGGTGTTGTATTCTCATATGTATTATTATTATTATATAGTCATGTGACCTGGAATTGCTATGTATACCATTCCTTGCTGAGTGATTTGATGTTGATACAGATATAGCCAGCCTTTTGTTTTTCAGTGATTGGAGGGGGGGGGGTATACCCCCTGCAGTGAATGTTGTAATGATTTGGGCTTTGATTCAGTTTCAGCCCTCTGCCTACCATTTGTGACCACACTGTGTGCTTTTCCTCTACTTTTCCTGTGTCTTAGACTCGTCTGTATATGTGTTAGTGTCTACTTCTACTGGGTGTTCACCAGGGACTGGAAACTCTCCAGCAAGGAGCACTGGCGACTGTACAAACAACAGGTAGTGTATCACACATGGTACAAACAACAGGTAGTATTATCATACATGGTACAAACAACAGGTAGTAGTATCATACATGGTACAAACAACAGGTACAAACAACAGGTAGTAGTATCATACATGGTACAAACAACAGGTAGTGTATCACACATGGTACAAGCAACAGGTAGTATTATCACACATGGTACAAACAACAGGTAGTAGTATCATACATGGTACAAACAACAGGTAGTATGTCACGCACGGTACAAACAACAGGCAGTACATACATACTGCACTATAGAAAGATAGGGTAGAGTCAGGAAAAGAAGGTATTACCCTGGTACAGGCCAACCTCATTAACCTGAACTCTCGCCCAGATTAATGAAGAGTTCAGTTTACAGAAACAGACTTTTCTTAAATTGATACATAAAAAAATTATTCTATTCCTCCAGAGTTTTGTTCAAAGATGAACTATCTGGATAATTAGTGTCTGGATGGAAAAGGGTCCATTTGTTCAGCTCTTCCTTTAGGTCACTTTCTGAAAATTCTTGTATATTAATTGAGGGATTAGTTAACCACTGAGTTTCATTAGTCTCACCTGCTTACAGGCTGTGTTGGTATGGTATATCTGTCTTTTAGTATTTGTTTTATACTTCCCTGGACATATTATATAACCATGCAATGGAAGTAAAAAGCATTTAGCAAATGGCCTAAATTCACTATAAAACAAATACAGGTATTATAATGGTTTTTGTAAGGTAATTTAAGTTATATAACAAATCCCTGAAGGACTTTGCTTTAATGGTGTTTTTCAGTTCTGAGCATAATAAAGAGCAAAGTGTCTCAATGAAATAGTTAAATTATCGATACCTGCTCCAGTGGCAAAAACTCCAGGGGGAGGGGGTGGGGGATATCATTAAATTCTTGGTGCATGCTCAGAAGGTAAAAGCTCCTGAGTGCAGTTTACAAATCTAAGTACATCATTTAGATATTGGTGTAATAGTTTTTTGATACTCATCAGGTAACCCATATAGCCTATTGGCCTGTTCTTTCTCTAGATTATGTTCCTTGAAAAATAAGGTTAGTTCCAGGATGGAAATGAAAGATAACCCTTGGCTGAATTAAAAAAAAAATAATTCATTTCATTTGAATTATGTTATTTGAAATTTCTTTAGAATGGAAACTTCATTTTTCCTGTTACACTTAAGGAAATCTAGATCTACTTGATATTTTCAACGCAGGAAATAAAACACAAGACTATATTATAAAAGATTGAAATCAAATATAGATGTTGAAAGGGCAAGAAAATGACTAAAATGACTAAAGATATCTCAATTCTGAAGAATATATTAGTCTGGGTGAAGACAGTATTGAAAAATAATAGATCTAATATAGACATGGGGCAATTAATAAGTTATTGTCTGACAGAGACAATCAGAAAATTGATATTTGTCTGTCATTGAACCTAACACCTCTGGTCAACAATTCATAAGTAAAAATCAAACATGAGCGAAGCCCCTTGTTTATTAGCCATTTAGTAATGAAGTATTCAGAAAAGAGAGAACAATATCTTGAGAATGTGAATGGCTGATCAGTTACTGGTTTATCGTAGTACTCTGTCAGTAACTTCATACTGTGTACACACTCTAATAGTCCTGCGACAACAGCTTGCACAATCAATATGTAATGATAAAGACTGGAGGAAAGTGGTCTCAGGAAATAAAAACTGTGATTTTCTTTTGCCAGAACATAAGTAATGACTAGACACAACAGTGTAATAAAAATTTTGACTTGAGTTGATCGATTGAAAGAGCTAGGTTATTGTTACGTTTCTAATAAAAAAAGTTTAATTTTAAATAACTGAAAATAGCAAAGATATTCTTTTGGATCTCTGCGTTTTGAATATAGATACCAGTTATTAAATTTCTTTCGAGAGATTGAAGGAATGAGAAATAATGAAAATATATGAAACAATGAATGAAAATTTCTTACATTTTTTTTTTTCACTTTTCATTATTTTAAAGAAATTTGACAAACTTTTTATTTAGCACATAACTGTAGCTAGTATTCAAGACTGTTAAATTCAGCTAAATTAAGTTGATAAAAAATTTATTTTTAATTGGGAAAATGTGATTTGTGGCAAATATTTTCAAGTTATAGGGAACAATTGTAGCGAGTATTCAAAAATGTTAAATTCAGCTTGATTAAGTTGATGAAAAATCTTTTAATTGAGAAAATGTGATTTGTGGCAAAAATTTGCCAACAAGGGAACAATGGTGATCAATAGACAATTTTGTTTTTCAGTGACAATCTGGGTGATATTTTGGGGACGTCGAGCCACCTGGGGGCTATTGGTGGGAGGGTCCAGTGCTCTGATCAACTGTTTATATTACTGGGGGCTGGGCTACAGATTCTGCTTCCCCATCCTAAACAGGACTTCCTCCAAGAAAGGAGCAACGAAAAGATCACGTAAAACTGTGGAACAAGAGCAGTAACTCTGAAAGGTCCAAGTCAACTCTTTGTTGTTATCTGTATTGGCAAAATTCTTGATAAATTTATAAAATGATAAAAATGTCTCCTGTCCGTCTTTAGATTAACTTTGCAATAGATAATGGTAACAAAATTTCAAATATTTGTCTTAAAGTTTTGTAAATTTTCTTGGAAAACTACTGTACATTTTTTGATGTATTTTTTGTGAGTTTCTCAACTGGCTATTCAGAGGTGCTATAAAGTAATAGTGTATTATGTAGACAGAAGGATATTGTAGTCCAGCAGTAGTCCAGATTTTCTTAGTGTTCTATGTTATGAATTAATTGAAAGTCCTGATTGTAAGAAATTAGAATGTGTGTATGAATGAGGCCTGTAACAGTAAATTGTAGACTTAATGTTCCATGTGAATTTTGTATGTTTGAAGACATACCAATTAGGAAGATTTAAACATAGCTAGGATAACAATTGGATTTTTGTTCCAACTCTGAAAAAGATTGGAAAATGCTTCTCATACAAATACAGAGAGGAAGGTTTTTTGAAAAATCTACAATTTATTGGGACATTTACTCCTCATATTGAATTGTGTGATTGTGTGATATATTGTTTGTTGACCAGAAATTGTTGTCATGTTATAGAATAGCTAGTTATTATTCTCTATGAATGCTGTTACAAAGTTTTTGTTAATGATTTTACTAGTCAAGAAACCTAATTGTTGTGAATTACAGATTCTCTTATATTCATTATGTATTTAATAAAGTTTTACAATTCAAAGTTGTATAAATGGAAAACATTTTACAAAAAGAACTAAAACCCCCTCTGCCCTATGTTTTGCAGTTATGTGAAAAAATGTACTTATTAAAAATATTATTGTCACACCACTTAGTTCCTTTTTGACAGTGCTTTATTGAGAAAAAGTTTACATTAGGTCTGTAGTAAGTAGTTAGATTATCTTATTAAATGTTTATCTTCAAAGTAAGTGTATTATTATATTAACCATATAGAGATTCATAGATGATTAGTAACCATGATATCTTATACGATGTAATATGCTTCATCACCCACACGTATATCAGGAAAAATTACTTGATACCTGGATTATGATCCCATAGGAATACTAGTGTCTTTACAGTGCTACCAAAATACTGATGTCATAATTTTTTTTCTGTGAAATGTGACCTTATACTGTTACATAAGTATACAGTGGACCTTCAGATATCCGGATGCTTCAGTATCCGGACGATTTTTAATCGAAACGGAATTTTATAACATTACTTTGTCTTGTTTAACTGGTAATTCAGGTATCCGGACGCTTCACATATCCGAACAAATTGACTAGGAACCAAAGCATCCTGATAAATGAGGCTCCACTGTATATGAATGCAGGGGCTTGCTTTTGTCTTCTTCATTTGTGTGAACAATGATATTATCTTCCAGAAATAAGTGCATGCAGACAATCAGTATTAGAGGGTTAAAGAGAAGTAATTAATTAGGGAACTTCCCCTTATTTTATGACTTGTACTTAGAAAACTAATAAATAATATTTTTACGTTCATTTAATTGAAATGTTTTCAATATAAGACTGATTAATATATTTGTTGCCCTCACTTAAAATTGTCTGAAATATGATGGTTGGCATTGTGCAATTACTTTTTGTAAATTTCCTTCTCAGAAATAATAAAAAAGTTAGCTTGGATTATAATGATCAATTCTTTAGAATTCAATTACCAAATGTATTTTTCATTGATTTAAATGTTTATTTAGCTGCTTTGTATTCATTTCATCTATTACATACACAAAGAATCGGAACCAAATGTTTATGTACATTTGTATTTAAGATTTTATGTATATTATTTGTACTATATCTGGAACATCAATTTGTCATTAAAGTTGATTTTTATCCGTTTTATTTTTTATTCTAAATATATAGATGATCACTAAAGAGAGGGAGACAATATTTTAATAGTTGAATCCACACTTTTCAAAAGTTTTGTCCCTTGGCCGCCATATTTTGGGGAAAACCCATAGAATCCTTACAGTATAGTCTGTAAAGTTTTCTGGTTTGAACTTGGTCATCTGACTAAAAATAAATTCTGTGTATCTTGTATATTGATTGCCCCAGACTGGGAGAAAAAAAATTAACACTGGATTTCTCAGAGCATGCCCAAATGTTTAGTAGCATAAAGACGAGAAATGTCATTTCTTTCCCTTTTGACCTTTTGGTTGACCCCGCAAAGAGACATAACTTTTGCAAAGTGTGGATTGAACTTGTAAGCAGTTTTAGAGAATTCATCAATACAGATATGAACACTTTGGAGGAATAGGAAGTTTATCTGCAGCTCAAGTGAACTTTTCTGATAATTTTTTTTTTCAATTCCAAGTTTTTCATATTTTTAGGCAACCTTTTCAAATTCACAGTAGAATCTTTCATAGTGCTCACCATTAATAAGAGACTTTCTGTCAAATGCGACCATTAAATTCCTTCCAGGAAAATGTTTGATTTTACAGGTACCTGAGCTTAGCAACTTCCATCTAATACAAATGTCATTTTCTGTCCTGATGCATTTTTAGTCCCTGAATACAGCGACTTTCAGACTAGCTTTTGATAACAAAAGTCGCAAAATGCTAAGTTTTAACACCCCCTACCCATATTTGAGAGATATTTGCAACCCAAACTCGTGAATGGAATAACTGATAATCTGTTTTTTAGACTTGCATAAAATTTCTGTCTGCCCTAATCATGACAAGGAGCACACAGTGTGTTTGACCTGTCAATTAGGGGATGTTTACTCCTCCACAACACCTGATCCCATCTTGGATGGTTTTAGGGTTTTTTTGGCTCTGTTGAAAAGTTGGACATCACACAACTTTTTTGTAATTTCTGATATTTGTGCCCTTTAAAAAAAAGTAAAGATTTTACGAAAGTAGAAATAAATTTATTACCTATAAGTAAAGTGAATTAATATATTACAAAGTACACTACACAGTAGTACAGTTACTTGTACTGTAAGACAATGCCCAGCAACAATATAAATGAGTTTTTTATATCATAACAAATAATTTACTTAGGCAGGCTGGCATATATTGCATCAAATAAAAAAATCTAGCTTGGCCATTCACTGCAGGCATTCTCATTTCTCAAGGCTATAAAGTGCCTTTTCTGTCATTTTTATCGAATCCCTCTGCAAAAATCTTGATTGCACATCATTTACCAAATAATTTAAACATACAATCCACAACCAACCATACACCTGGTCTTAAACAATGAAAGCCCTGTTTAGTAGGCGAATCTGGACTTCTGGCTGTATCCGAGTTTGTCCAGGTTTGGCTGGCAGGCGAAGTTGATCATGGGAGGGGGGCCACACATCAGGATGACAGTGTCATTACTAGGGGGAGGGAGGTGGTTCTTTATCATCTCATCACTGACAAACCCCTTACTGTACTTCCAACCTATCAACAAATAATGTTGTGTTTAATAAAAAATAGGATTATAGTCTACTTGGACATATAACAACTTTAGAGGTTCATGAAAGCATTCTATCATAAATAAGAGGATTTTGTTACATAATTCCAATCTTAATTTTATTTATTGATTCCCTGTGTTTTGATTGGACGAGAACAAATTCAAGAAAAAGTTTACACATCGATGAATTTTTCAATCAGAACTACTTTCTCGACTGTTGTAAAAACAATGAAAACAGATACTTCTATTCCGTTTTAGCTAAATTATGATTACAAGAAACTGGAAATAAAAAATGAATGAATGAAAAGGAGATAAACAGGACTGACAGACGGGAATATTATGTTTATGTCACTGTCGGATTACGAGTGTTAATTTTAAAAAATCGCTGATCATGATGTCATTTTTTCGACGTTCCATATCAGCTCAGTTGGTGTCGTTGTGATAGGGAAAAGAAACGTACTTCAGACTCTTGCCTTTTCAGCATCAAATTCATATATTTACATCCTACAGATCCCATATTCTCCCTAAATCTTTGAACGAACCAGAGTAAATCAGAGACGTAGAGTAAATCGAGGACGTCGTCGGTCTGCAAGTTTCGCTATGACGTCGTTAGATCTAATGTCAACATAGCCATGGTCAAGGACGAATTATTCTGGAGAATACGCGTATTTACGATATTTGTTGACTTAAACAACATTCAATGAGTTTTTATAAAATTATTTTATTGATTGTTTTGACAATTTAAGTTGGATTTTATCGATATTCATCTTGTATATGTTTCTTTGCGGCATAAAGTATTCCTACGCCGTACAAAATAACGGATTGTATGGCGGCCTCAAAGAGAAATAATTTTAATAATTTTAAAAATTCGTAATTGGAATTATAAGAATTAAACGTTCTTTTTTTCAGAATTTATCGATGTGTAAACTCTGCCTTTTTCCTCACAAACTTTACATAAAAGTGCTTCGCACTTTTATTCAGTTTGTGAGTAAAAAGGCAGAGTTTACACATCGATAAATTCTGAAAAAAGAACGTTTAATCCTATAATACACCACATATGGAGATTCATGTTTCTTTGTATTGCACTTTTATATACATTTACCTGAAACTTTACTTTGAATGTCAACTTTGAAGCATCATGTATTCAGAACATTACTGTATTTGTATATACTTTTAGCATAAATTTTCTTGTCTTTAGTTCATTAATTAGTAGGTCATGCACTAAATATCTGTTATCATTAGTATCCAAAACGTGTATAAAAAAACCTTGTGTTTTACTTTACAAAACACTTTCAAAACACTCTCTTGAGATAAATTGACATCTCCATACCATTTACATCAAAACTGAGTAAACCTTAAAAAGTTAACGTTGCATGCAAAAAGAGCGGAAAGCAGATAAAATTTGCCCCTCATGTTTCAGCTCGATGCGTAACAATAACTAGTGATAAATATTAAATTTTCTTTACAAATTCTCAATTTTTGTAGAGTCCTGTTCTACTAGACCTGATTTTTTTGTCAGGTTGTTACAAGCAGTTACCTTCTGTTGGTCTATCTAAGGTGTACCACACCTTGAGACGAGTTGGGTAGCTCTCTTGTAAACCTTCTAGCTCCGTTCTCAACAGAATGTCATCTTCTGTCTGAAAAAATACTTATTAAAATACTGTATAATATTAAAGTACATTTGTGAAATTTAGGAAAATAAAAAAAAAAAAATTTAAATGCATAATTTTAAAGCTAATTCTAATGATAATGCTTCCCAAAATACATGTAACTACTGTACATCAATCAACTTTTAGCTACGTTTACCTATTCCAAGTCGTTTCAAACAAATTCATATTCATGCACACTTAATTAACTCTCTATGTAACATCAAAAAGCGTCAGTTGGAAGTCTTAAATACAAATGAAGCACAACAGACTATACTTTACAGGCTAGCACAAACCTGATTAGCAAAGAGAAGAGAGAGGTTAGTTTTGTCCTCTGGGTCTTTGAACACCTCCCTGATGAGCTGAAGCATGGGAGTAATTCCCGTCCCTCCCGCGATCATTCCCACATTCCTAGCTGTCACTGTCTCAGGTGGAGACTTCTTGTCCGGGCGCACCTTGAACACACCTGTGGATAAAATCAATGCAAGATGTAGTCAATATGATTTGAGGGAAGTAACTCTTACAGATAAACGAGTTTAATCAATCGACAACCAAAGTTTACGTAGGTTTATAAACACTTGTCATGGGAAACTGAACCTATTATATGATTTACACTGCTACCTTATAACTTATGTACTAAAAGTTTCTTATTTTTTGTGTCTCTTCAATTATATTATGGATAGTGCAACCTGCAGTGTTGATAGTATACACTTATCCACTGGGTGTGAGTGGGATAGCTCTTTTATCAAACCCACGACAGAGAACTATTCCTTGAGGGCTTGCCCAAGGGGATAGTTCCTGTCAAGGGTTTGATAAAAGAGTTATCCCACTCACAACCAGTGGATAAGCATTTTATTATACTGATGTATAATATAATTTCTGAGGTTTGAATTTTTTGGAGTAAGATAATTCTGCAAGAATAATCTGAAATCCTGATGACGTCACAATGCAACTGAATCCATTATGACATCATCAGTTTCAAGATTTATCGCTGGAAATCAAATTGGCGGCACTCAAAAATATTTTATGTTGAATAAATATGTCCTATATAAATCCTCATTACCAATATACTTTTGAATTTTGGAAATAATTTGATTTACTTTTTCCAACAAATGGTATTCTCAGATGCATATCTTAAACAGCATACTATATGGCCATGCCATTACATGTAAGATACTAAACCATTTCCATTACCATACCTTTTCCTTCATACACCAGTAAACCATTAGGTCCCCTCACATCAATGTAGTCCCCTATAGACATGTTCTCCAAGTGCTGGGACATTTTACCACCCTCAGGAAACTTAGGGTGGACATTCTTGAAGTAAACCTGCCAAAAACAATCAAATAATTTACTGACAGCACATTTTATTATTCAGTGTATTTGTGTAGATTAATACATGAATTAATCAGAACCTTTACTATGCTCCCTTTTTACTACTTCTGATTTAGCAATATAATTCAAAATTCATTTGTTGTCTTAATCCCCATTCATTAGTTAATTAAAAAGACCCACCTTAATGACGAGGTCCATGTACCCCTTTTCATCGTCACTAGATACCGGGGTGTAGGGGCGGATCACCAGCTGTCCGTCTATCCGAGCGGTCAGGTAAATATGTTGACCTGTGGATAAAAACATAAGTACATCCCATTATACATTTGTTGGCCTGACAAAGAAAATGGGGAAAATAATGCAATTTCTGCTGATTAAGATGTGTTGTGTAAAAAGATTTTTATAGTTTAAAAAGTATAGCATCAAAATTTAATATCATAGACAGGACAGCCTCAAGCTATCAAATTATCATAAAAGTTTTTCAGGCTACAAATTTTTTTTTCCTTCAATTTTTATCTTGTTTGCTGAGTCGAAAGAAGCAAGCTCTCTTTTCTGGCTTTTTTCTTGTATACAGACTATTGAGGGCTATTTTTACTAACTTGTCCTATGGGGTTTTTTTTACAAAAGAAAAAAAAAAGTAGAACAACTCTGAGAAAGGTGCATGGCAGTAAAATTATAATATTTTTCTGTCTTTTATGCCTGAACTTATTAGGTTTAGGTTTATACATGTAGTACATGTACTTCAATCATATTAATCTTACCAACAGGTAGTCCCAAGATATGCTCTGGACTTGGAAGGGCAAAACGAAATCTTCTTGTATCATGACTGACTTCCTTTAAAAAGAATCATAAATAACTTTGAATTCACATATCTAAAATGTTCAATCTCCCAAATTCATATATACTTGTCAAACAATATTTCTAAAGTACATTTATATATACACAGGTATCATACTCAATCTGATTAAAATCAGATCTTTGTTATGTTTCGAAATTCTGATGTTAATTCTTATCCAAAATTTTGATTGTAAATTTCAGTTCAATTTATTTACCTCTTTATCCACCAGTTTGAGGGGGTACTTGGTATTGGGGTCCTGTAGTGTTATGGGGGACTTGGCTTTCTTCTTGTTTCCAAACAAGAACATCTTTGCTAGGACAGCAGTGACAGCTACCACACCTACCCCAATCAGTACTGGCACACCCTGTCAAATATACCCGGTAAATCATCAGTAGTAACTGGGTCAAAACAGTAAGTAGGTCATAACCTGAAAATTCCTATCAGTATTGGCACACCCTGTCAAATATAAATCATCTGTATGGTATCTTTTTCTTCAGTTGTAGAGGAAGTACGTTTTTTTTTACCCTACAGTGTACTGTGTAGCATGCATCCACCAACACAGGTGACAAAATAATGATTTCAATGGAAGTGACTAAGTAAGTGGCTTTATAAAGGGGGTCCTCAAATATAGCGAGTGAATCTTGACAATATTAAAATTGTTAATTTAATAGTGGGCTTTAAGAAAGCCTGAAAGGAACATTTATGTACAAGAATATTTGCCAGAAAATCAGGGCTATCTACACCAAAACCCCCAGTGTGACAAGTATGTTGGGGGGGGGGGGGCTGGCAGATTTTGTAAAGAAATCAACTGTCCTATAAATATTGAAAATAAATAATCTGTCCTCAACTGTCAAGAAAAAAAAATATGTTCTTGATTAGTGCTTCAGCCCCACCCCCAACCCTGAAATAGAAAAATATAGTTTTTGGAGTTTGGTTTGGGTGTTTTCCTCTTTTTTTAGATGGCACAGTGGTTAGTGCATCTGCTCTGGAGTAGCGAAGTAATGAGTTGATCCCTAAATTGTGGGTTTGAATCCCACTGTGGGACATGGAGACTGGCCCTTTGGATGAGACCATATAAACTGAGGTCCTATGTCGCAGTAGATACTGGCACAAAAAAGATCCCTCACTACTAAATGGCCCTGAGCGCCAAGTATTGGTAAAAATTTGTAGCTCTCCACCAGCAAGTGGTGGCATCTCCATATGAGACAGTGAAAAATTCTTGAGAGGGATGTCAAACAACATACAATCAATCAATCTTTTTTTTTAGTTTTTTTTTTCAGTGAAGAAGAAAATTTTAAAAATCTGTCCTCAATGATTGAGACTCAATCATCTTGGACATGAACAATCTGTCCTCCACCGACATGAAAATAAAAATATCTGACTAGGAAAATTATTACAAGCCCCCCTCCCTTCAGAGTCATGATCCTTTTAAATGTCAATAAAATATCATTGCCAGCTGAGCATGAGAGCTATGTTATCCCAAGACTTTGTCCCAAGAGTAAGTGCCAACACAACGATTGCTACAAAATAATGCATTCACAAAACAGGACCTAATCAAGATTCAAGAATCAGCTAGCCACCTGTCAAAATTTTGACCTTGTTACGGATGACTGAGCACGTGCACCATAGACGGCACGAGACTTGTGTTTCCCACTAAGAGACTGACAATACATACGTACGTGCTTGACCTGTTTTCCACATACATACTAGATCTATCTACTTACGATGGCAATTGCTCGACTCATGCTGGTGGAATGAATGTCCTCCAAACCGGTCGTACAACGTAGTCAATTTATACCCTGACAAATTATATCCGGCTACATCCAAAATGATCTTCACTTACAATTTATTTATAATTTTGCAGAGTGCTTACCAACATGTATTATTTCAGTTACACATTGTATCATTGGTAGCTTAACAGTGTAACAAATGCATTTACACAATAAGTGCTGAAAGTATATTGAAAACAATAGGTGTGTATTTGTTGTCTAGGTAAGGGACTTGGGTTTCAACTTAGTTGAGATTGAAAGTTGAGTTTTCTGTCATTACAAAGTAAAGTTATATTTTCCGTATTTGCTTCGCTAAGAGCAATAAAATAGACTAAAAATTATTCAAGACTTACCCACATGTCCGAGTTTGTCATCTTTGTTGCATACACTAGGTGAACAATTTCTACCTACACCCACATTCCAGGTTCTTGATGATGTTAACTTAAATGAGTTAAACCCAGAGATGAAAAACGTTTTAAAGACTATATTGAAAGAAAAGAGCACTCCGATCCCGATGTTTATCCTCATCGCATTCTTATGTTCTATTATTTTGAGACCTTTTAAATTTAGGTTTTTTGACTTATTTTAGTGACCTTAAACAGAATTACATATATTTATAAAATGTTTGAATAAAACAATAAAAAAGTGGTAAGGATATGATAAATATTTTACTTAAAAATAATCTCGCACAGTTCCCATAATTTATGTCTTCTTAGGATTTGGTTCATAAATATGTAAACCTATTGGTATTTAAAAAGAGTACACAACAATGCAATATAGATATAAATATTTTTGAATTAAGACCCATGTACTTGTGCATGTGTCCCCTCCCCCCCCCCCCCCCCCGCCCCCGCCGAAAAAAGGAAAGAATTTGGGTCGCGTGTAAGATGTAATTTTTGCACAATTAAAGTGTTAAAATTATCATTTTAAAATGTTTATTTCATATATTTAAATTTTTGAGGATTTTCTTGTTGAGGAATCTTTAAGTTTATGTATTTATATAATTATGTATTGAACATTTAGATTGTTTGAAGCTATGACGTTGCTTGCAGTCATATGATTGTCGTGCTATTCAAAAAAATTCTTTGGAATTTATAAAATTCATCACATAATTTGCCGAAATATACGAAAAGTTTTTATAACAATTTAACATAAAGTATAATAAGTTAACTTACACGGTAATTAATTTTAAGTCCGAAAAGTCGTATTTCATACCATGAAAACTATATAAAACACCCAATGTATTTCTACTTACACTTAGGCCATAACAAATTTTTTCTATGTTTAGCGTCCGCGTGCTCCTTGGTTTTTGACGCCCCATATGAGAAAAAACAAACATAATCAGAGTCAGAAAATTGATTATTTTGGTCGAAATAATTGAATTCTGTCAATTTCTCTTAATATTTTGTGCAGTGTAATATTTTATGTATTTAAGCATTTAAAACCTAGAAATTGCTTACAAAATATATATATACCTTCTAAAATAAAATGAAATTAAATCCTTCCATAGATTTGCATCATTTTTTTAATGACTTTCAACTCCTTGTTTTATTTTTGGCTTGTGTGTTTATGCGAATATGTAGGTAGGTTTTTGAGATAAGGGTGGACGCTAAACAGAGAAAAAAACTTAGAATGGCCTTAGATCCCACTCAACATTTCCTGGCCCCTAGGGCAAAGACCATAAACTTTACCGAGAACAGACTACAACCTGTTTCGGAGTACATACCTTTGAAAATTAGACAACACAGAGAAGTATGACCTTGTATTTTATTAAGGAATGCACCAAAACATATGGAATTCAGATAAAAACGTATCAAAATAAAATATATATATATCCATTTGTGAATGTCAAGAGAATTTTGAAAAATTTCCCTGAAAAACATGAAGGTTCATAAACCGTCTGCTGACTCATATAAAATGTTGCTTCCAAAAGAAATGTATTTTAATATGTTATAAGTAAAATGCAAACAATAATAGCATATTTTGCGGGGCAAAATTGGACCCAAAAAAACAACAAAAAAACAAACACTTCAACCTGGCAAATCTATAAAGGAATAATAGACATTTATGTTATCTCTCTTATCAGAGTATCGATGGACCTTAAAAATTGATGTTGAATCTGCATGCCCACGGCATATAGAAAAAAAGCACAAAATACCTTAATTTTGATAAATTCTCAAAAACGCACCTGTTTACTTGCCATTTTTTCTTAAATATTATTTAGAATTTGTGGTGGCATATTTCTGCCCCCTACATGCAAGATAAATTATGTTAACATGCAAGAAAATTATGTCAACATGCAGGATAATCATGTTGACATGCAAGTTACAAATCTTTTAAGTACGGAAACGTATAACCGCCTCGTGTTGTTGTTTTAGAACGCGATATTATGATATAAAAATGTTGTCAAATACAATTACTTCAAGGTTTGGCGATTTAATTATGACAACAATCTCTGATGAATAATACTTTTCTGATATGTTTTAGACGACTTATACGCTTTGATATATCCAAGTTGAATTCCTAAATGTCGCACATAAGATAATGTGTAAACATTATGCCGCTAAACTTAAATATCGCAGACATTAGTGCAATATAACATATATGAAGACTTCACTTAATACGACTCGATTTAATCAAAGAGAAAAATTCAACAAAATTTGAACGACTTGTAACTTCAGATTGATACAAGATACAAGATTTTATCAGTCCAATTTGGGCCCTTGGAGGAGCAAACAAGATTTACAAACAAAAGAAGGAGGAGGATCCAATTGATAGAACAAGGAAGATCTTACATATAATGAGAGCAGTTGTTAAAAATGTATATAAGAGATACACTGAATATACATACATGTATTGTATATATGTTATAATAATATTTTAGTCAAAGGCAAGAAACTGGGAAAAAGTACATATATGCATATCAAAATATCCTCAAATTAATGTAGATTACCAAGGAATCTAGCAATTGATCCAAGGATGTCAGGATCTTCAATCTTCGTTATTCATGAGCGAATAAAATTGATTATCATAGAATAGAGACTGAAAAATTTTACATTTAATTTTACAAATATTTATGAGTTCAAGTCTTTTTACATTAAGATAAGGACATACCAGGAGAAAATGAATTTCATCCTAATTAAAATATAACGTATATTGCACTGAATTAATGTCTGACTTAAATAAAATAATTCAAATAGTTATAGGATACCTTGCAGGCTCTTTTCTAAATAATAAATCTTATGAATGTTTCTTCAAAGGACAGGCACTATATTTGGTAATACTTGTCCATCTTAATTATATTCTTAGCTTAGAGAACATATGCAGACATATAAGCATTTAATATTTTCATCTGATGTGATGTCATGCATTAAATATGACCTCAAAATATTGTAAATTCAAAATTTCAAGAAAGTTGTATATTTTCTTTGATAATTCAATTGGTAAAAATCGAGCGCGAGTCTGCACATACTCTATTTTTTAATATGATGTGTAGAATGATAAAGTGAATGAAATAATTTGCATTTTATCCTCTTTCTTTTTAAAGATAACACACAAGCTCATTAGTTAGTGCTCTCACAGACACCATTTTCCCCCCAATCATGCTTTGATTTATTCGGTAAATTCAGATTTTTGTTATAATTTATACCATCATATACATTTTATGAAGTTGCCCTTTGAGTACATTTAAAAATACATGTACATAAAGACTTATAACACTGTAAAACCTGCAAATTTCTTCTTTGTTTATTCTAAGATAAAAAACATTGCAGTTACCGACAGCATCAAATTTTTTAGATTTTTATGTTTAAAAATCATTTTTTTAAAATAATCAATTTCGGACAATAAAAATCCGGCACGTAGCTACGGTTTTCAAAGAGTGTTCCGGGTCCTATGAAAAACACACATTCAGAAAAAGAGGAAAGCATTTTCTAGATATGCATTACGGCCCAAGTAGTGGTATAACGATTTGAATTATTTTATTTGAACCAGACATCGATGCAATGCAATACGTTATAGTAATAAATCTGATGTTACAAGTCGTTCGAATTTTGCTGAATTTCCTCTTTGATTAAATCGAGTCGTCTACGCGAAGTCTTCAGAAATGTTATATTGCACTAATGTCTGCGATATTTAATTTTAGCGGCTTAATTTTTATGCATTATTTTAGTGCGACATTTAGGAATTCAACTTTAATATATAAAAGTGTATAAGTCGTAAAAACATATCAAAAAAGTATTATTCACCAAAGACTGTTGTCATTATCAAATCGCCAAACCCTGAAGTTATTGTATTTGACAACATCTTTATATCATAATATCGCGTTCTAAAACAACAACACGAGGCGGTTATACGTTTCCGTATTTAAGAGAATCTGATTTTAAAATGGGTAAAATCCCGTACTGACGCTCGTATCGGATATTGTAGATGCAAGATGCAACATAATTATGACAAGATGCGGGTTACTTATGTAGACATGCAAGATATTTATGTTTACATGCGAGATAATAATGTTTACATGCTACTTATTTATGTCAACATGCGACTTATTTATGTCAACATGCAAGATAATAAGTTGCATATTTACATACATATCTTGCATGTTAACATTATTATCTTGCATGTTGACATAAATAAGTTGCATGTTGACATAAATAAGTCGCATGTCTACATATTATTTTGCATGTTGGCATAAATAAGTCGCATGTCTGCATAATTATCTTGCAACTACAATGTCAGATACGAGCGTTAGAAAGTAAATTTAACCATATCTAAATTATATTTTCTTATAAGATTGGTAATTTGCATGTCAACATAATTATGTTGGATGTTGACATAAATATGTTGCATGTCTACATAGTTATGTTGCATGTTAACATAATTTATCTTGCATGTAGGGGGTAGAAATATGCCACCATAAGAATTATATCTTATTATCTTACTTTATATTTATAAAATAGTCTTTTGAACATGTATGCCCCCAATTTGGGGATATCAAGTTTTACAACCATTCTTTGCAAAATTTGAAAAGAAGAAGGTGCAGTCTTAAAATCTATATATAGGATCAATCGGTCCAAACGCTTCAAATATGAACTACGACAGTATATATAGCTGAAATACAAATGTAGATATAATTAATTTTTTAACCGATCTTTAAAATTTGAATTCACCCTACAGCTAAGTAAAGAAATTGATTTTGAGGAAATAAAGCCATGCAACTTTGCATGCTATACAGTTTTTATACCCCCCGGTTTGAAAAGTGGGAGGGTAAGTATAAGGATCGAATTGTCCGTTCGTCTGTACGTCCGTCCGTCCCTCTGTCCATCTGTTACGCTTTGGGGTACCCATCTCTTATCCGCAAGTCCTCTTATACCACTGTATGAAATTTGATGAGACTTTCAACTCTTTGTTACAAAGTGCCATTGTGCATTGCTGCAGAACTGTAGCTCTCTGC